ATAAGATACGAAATTCATAATACTTTTTTTTTTTTTTGCTTTGAACATGTAATATTAGTTGATAGAAATTTAAAGTGGTAAAAATCTTTTTTATTTATCCACATATTTACCATTTTTGGTGCTTTTCTTCCTTTGCATAGATTATGAATTTCACCTGGTATCATTTCCTTCTGCTGAAGTACTTCCTTTAACATTTTTTTAGAGTGGAAGTCTGTTGGTAATGAATTCTCTTTGCTTTTGTTTTTCTGAAAAAAGTTATTTCTTTCATCTTCAATTTCGAGAGATAATTTCACTGGGTATAGAATTCTTGGGTGACAGTTGTTTTTTTTTTGTACCTTAAAATGTTTCTTAATTGTTTTCTGACTTGCACATTATCTGATGACAAATATGCTGTAGTTTTTATCTTTTTTATTCTGTGTATAATTTGTTGTTTTTCCTTTTTTTGGTTGCTTTTAAGATATTTTATTTTTCTTTTTTTTCAGCAATTTGATTTTGATGTGCTATTTGATTTTGAGGTGTAGACTTTTAAAGAAAAGTCTAGTAGTAATTCTTTGAGGTTCTTCAATTTGCAGGTTTATCATTTTCATCAAACTGGGCATAATTTGGCCCTTATTCTTTTAATATTTTTGACCCCCTCCTTCTCTGGGTCTCCAATTATGTGTACGCTAGACTTCTTGATAAGATTCCATGTATCACTGATGCTCTATTTATTTTTTTTTAGTCTTTTTTCTTTCTGTTTTTCATTTTGTATATTTTCTTGTTATAAAAGTTCACTCATTTTTTTATTCTGCTATATCTACTCTGATATTAGTTTGAGCCCATATATTTTTCATTTACTGCTGTTTATAGTATTTTAAATTTCAGATATTATATTTTTAAAATTTAGAAGTTCCATTAGTATCTTTTTATATCTTCCATTTTTCTCATTATGATCATATGTTCCTTTACTTGTTAAATAATATATATATTTTTATACCTTGTAAATGTTCTTTTCTGCTAGTTTCATTCTACATGTCACTTCTGAATTAGTTTCTATTGCTTGATTTTTTTTTCTTTTTATGCATCATATTTTCCTGTTTCTTTGCATGCATAGTAATTTTTTTAATGGTTACTGGGTATTATCAATCTTACTTCTTGCTGGATTTTATTTTATTTAAATAAAATCATTACATAATTCAGCCCCATAAATTTTCAGCTTTTTCTGGTTTCTGTGCTGTGGTTAATAGTTTTCCTTTTTTGCCTTTATAGATGTGGATTTACATTTTTTATAAATTTTCACGAGTATTTTTTCAAAGAAATTGTTGTTGCACTTGAGAACAAATTACTTATATGTCTGTTTTACCTAGAGCTCAGAATCATGGAAAAATATTGACTGCTTGGATCTTTGCTGGACTTTTGAGGGAGGAAAATTTGAACCTAATACACAGTGTACACAGACACACACATACACTCACACACACACATACACACATTTGGCTATTGAAATCTTCAACCTTCTTTACAGTAGAGATAGTCCCGGAGCTATATTGAAACTGGAGGACTCAATATGGAATCAAGGCAAGTGAAAGATTTTTATTTTTCTTTCTTATTTTTTCATTGCAGGCATGTTCCCTGGAGCCATCATGAGCCTCAAAGACACAAGTTTTATTTTACTGGAGATCTGGATTTGAGGTATGTCTTAATGCTTAAGTTGCCTGTTTCTGTGGCTCAGAGATAGGCGTTTGACTCTGTGGGATCAAATGAACAATAGGGGGCACCTTACTTTCCACTTTGAGAACCATAGGAAACTCTGAAAATTTTGTTCTATGGATTGAAGCCCTCTTAAGCAGTGATTCTGTTATTTTCAGTGGAGCCTAGACTTTAGTGCCTGTGGTACTTTTGGCAGTGTGATTTAGAAAGTATATATCCACAGTGCTGCAGTTTTAATCCTATCATTTACAGAGTTTCTAAGATATGATAGTAGAATAACTTTTTATTCAAAGGTATGTATTAGTCCTGTGCTGTAGTTCAGACATTGTCTTTGGTGCTGTAGATGAACAGATAATATACATTGTGCTGTCAAGAGTAAGGATTCTTGATATATAGAAAGGCAAATGACTACATACTAAGCATACACAACCCAAACAGCTAGAATAGGTCAGGGAAGACATCAATGAAATTATAGCTGAAGTGAATTAGAATATTGAATAGGAGTAAACTAGAGGGGACTGATTGGTATTAAAGGGTCCAGGAAGTGCAAAGTCAGAGATGTGAGAAAACATTTTAAATTAATTAAGGTGATGTTAGTTGCTGTAACAAGTAAAACTCAACATCTTTTAACAATAAATATTTACTTTCATTTAAATAAAATCTAAAATAGGTATTCCTGGTGAGCATGTGTCTGTCTTCTAAGAAGTAACGGAGGGATTCAGGGTTTTTCTTTCTTATGGCTTCACCATCTTCATCACATAGCTTCCAAACCACCATGTTTGTCTGCATCAAACCAGCAAGTGGAAGATAGAGATATGGAGAATCTTTTTTGGGAACATAACACATTTTTTCTTTTCACATTCTGTTGGCTCAAATTCAGTCACATAGCCACATCTAAAGGCACAGGAGGCTGAGAAATGTAGTTGAGTTCTAGGCTTAGAAGAAAACAAAATGGGTTTGTTTTCTGCTATATATTATATTTTCTGGGAACTGAAAATAATACTGTTTGGTTCTCCGACTAGTTTTAAGTAGAACTCTCCAAATATAAAGCTGGAAAGATAGTTGACCACATCCTGGCTTTATACATCCTGGCTTGCTACAAAATATGGAATCTATTCTAAAGGCAATGGGGAGTTATTTGAAAATTTTTAATTTGAGAAGTTCATATTTGCATTTAGAAAGATTGTGCCGACAGTTTTTCTAAGAGGTAGAATAACATAGTAGTTACTATTTCATTTCTGGAGGCATTCTGCCTGATTTTATTTGAAGCTCTTTACTAAAAATATGACCTTAAGGAAGCTTTGACTCATTAAACTTTTATTTTTTTTTTAATCTGGAAAATGGAGACAATATTGATATTTCTCTCATAGAATTATCAAAATAATAAACTTAAAAAATTGAGTTGTTTTGCTGGATGCTGATACAAGGTGAAATTAGCTCTTATTTTTGTTGTTGATGATATTATTGACAGTGACTGGAGAAACATTGGAAGAAGGTAAGAATGAAGAAAGGAAAGCAGTTAGAAAACAATTGTAATATCTTATGTGAAATGGTGAGTTCCTTAACCAGTGTGGTAGCACTAGGAATTAAGAGAAGTTTCACATTTGAAAACCTTGAGGAGGAGGAGTAAACATGATTTGGTGACTGACTGAAAGTAGGAGGTAAAGAAGAAAGAGGAACAAGGATGATTTGAAAGTGTCTGCCTTAGGCGGCTTTCTGGCATGGCAGTGCCAGTTATGGAGACAGGAGATGCAGTGGGGAAGAGTAGAATTAGGAGGGAAGCTTGGTGTCTGGTTTAGGATTTCTGGACTTTTACTTCAATGTCCTGGTCTCTGGTGCCTTGATTGAGCCCCTTTCTTACTCAGTGTAGGGATTCTTGTTCCCCCTGGGTATGGTTTTCTATTAGGATTTTTGCAGACCAGGCTGGGTGTTCCACCCATTGTAACCTTAGAGGAAGAGACCTCAGAGAGAAACACAGCAGTGATTCCAGGCCTCAGCTTTTAATGTGGAATTATCTTTATTGCTTCACCCTACAGGGCTTTTATATCTATAGCTTCCAATGAGGGGCTGTGGGTCATTCTGTGTCCAGGTCCCTATATTGGCAGCGACTTAGACCTTGGAGGCCTGCCCAGGTGAGTTGTACTCTGAGGCCCCGGCCCTGGCTCCATGTGGGCCCCCAGTCTATTCAGATGTAAATTACAACAAAGTGTTTTCCTTGGTTTTCTATGTTCATGTTTTTAACTGCACTATTTTTCTCATTTAATGACATAAAAAATGAATTTTAAATATTGGAAGTTATATAGTACTTTTTATTTTTATAAACCTCCATCTCATCTCTGCAGTGCAAATGGGGTAGAGTACATTTTTAGAAATAAAAACTAATGGCTACCACTTAAGCAATGTCTTTATAAGTTCTAGTTTTTGTGGCGGCAGTACAACTGACAAGAAATGGGGTTGATTATCTCTCTTTAAAAAGAGTGTTTTCCTTTTTTTTTTTTGCTTCTGATCACTTTTTATTATAGTAAAATATGCTTAATATAAAACTTACCATTTAAAAGTATGCAATTTTGTGCCAATTAAACACATCAAAAATATTGAACAACCATCACAACTGCCTAGTTCCAGAACTTTTTTATCATCCAGAATGGAAACTCTATATCTAGTCACTCACCAGTCCTCCTTCCCCCCAGCTCCTGGCAACTACTAATGTGCTTTCATTCTCTACAGATTTTCCTATTCTGAATATTTCATATAAATGGGATCATACAATATATGACTGTTTGTACTTGGCTTATTTTTTCTTAGCAGAATGTTTTCAAGGTTCATCCATGTTGTAGCTTGTACCAGTTTTCCATACCTTTTTCACAGCTTAATAATATTCCTTCAAAGAGCATTAAAGAAAAAAAAACCTTGAAACAGCTTTATAAAAATCTCACTCAAGATTAGGGGTTGGCAAACTTTTTCTGTAAAAGGTGAGATAATAAATATTTTCAGCTTTGATAATATTTATTATCTCAGTCTCTGTTGCATCTACTCACTCCTGCTAGTGTGACAGGAACACAGCCATAATAACCTATAAACAAATATGTGTGGCTGTGTTCCAATAAAACTTTACTTACAAAAATATACAGTGACTCTGATTTAGCCTGTGGGCTGCAGTTTGACAATCCCTGCTCTAGATCATTTCATCATTATACAACCCTCATTTGTATTTTGAGGAAAGTGGTGGTGGCTAAGATGGTAAGCTTTCCGTAATTGGAACACAGACTGCTTTTTCTTAAAGATGGATTGTAATCTCACAATATATTGTTTCAATACAGCTGTGCAAATCTGTCTGTATTTTCCAGCATCATATGCTTGAACTTTTATTTTTGCTCTCTCCTACCCAAAGTCTGAGTCTTGCTTTTTCAATCCTAGTTGGTTACTCCAGGATCCAAAAATGAAGCTGAGAACAACTTACAAGGGCTTCACTAAAGCAGTGAATCAATATTTTGATCAATTGATTCCTAGGATAGCACCATTCCAGGTAAAACTCAATTATCCATCCCTATGACCAAGGGAAGTAAATTGCCTAAATTTACTTGATTGCCTAGATAGGGCTAGACTACTTTCTATCATTCAGAAGCAGGAAGTTTATATAAAAGCCAATTCCAATTCCTTATTTAAGAAATATCAGGTTTTGTCCCACTTTTGTGCTTTTTCCTCATCTGCTGCCCAACTGGATGCCTTTTTCTTGGAACTGCACTCAGTATATTTTTGTTTTATCTCTCCATTATTTCTTCGCTTTCTATCACCAAACGTCTTAATTTAACTGCTAAAGATAGTTACATGTCAGTCCTTCACAAATAATAGGTTATCTAGATAATTTTAGGTTAGTGATTTTGTAGAAGTTGCAATTTATTTGATTTTTAATATATCTCCCCTGCAATGAAATCACAATGCCGTACATACTCGTTTAAGTAGAACTAGTATGCCACAACATTTCTAAAATGATTGGAAAATAAAAAAAGGACTATCTACTAGGTAGGAAAAAATTAAAGGGAAAAAACAAATATATACTATTAGGTGTCAAACTTTGTGCTAGGCAATTAACATTTACTTAGCATATTTCATCCTCACAGTAATCATTTGAAGAAGATGTTAATACAGATTGAATGGAGGCAATGACAAGTTTGTACATGGCCAGAAGGCTTCACATAATGTGAATTTACTAGGGACAAAGTTTGTTTCTAATGCTGAGAGTACCCCAGAGTTAATCAGACTCAGGGAAGTAATTAAAACTACTAAGTGACTGAAGAACATGAATCAGTGTACCACCTGGGGGATAGCAGAGAGAGTCTTTTACAGAGATTAGAGCTGTGCTGTCCAATGTGGCTATTTAAATAAATAAAATTAAAAATTCTGTTCCTCATTTACACCATGCACATTTCAAATGCTCAATAGCCACATATGGGTGGTTACTACCATTTTGAATAGAGTGAGTACAGAACATTTTTGTCACAGACAGTTCTATTGGGCAGTATTGAACTAAAGTTCTCACAGCACCCCAAATCAGGACTTCTCAGCCTTGAAACTCCTAGAAAATTAAATTAGTAACCTAAAGGTTTCTTAGCACAAAATCAGGGACTGCGGAGGCTGGGAGGTATTGAAAGCATTTTATTATGGTATTATGAATCAGCACTCGCAACTGAGTACCCTTCTTTTAGAAGTTTCAGTTGTATTTATAAGGCTCAGTCTCTTGCTTTAGTTAATCTCAGGTAAAGTCAATTTATGGATCTTTTTCTTTTTCTATTCTCTAATCTGCTGGATTCCTCATTGGATAGATGGAAGGGAGAAGAGAGAAGCTGGTTTTGAAAAAATTTTAAATGTCTGTCAGTAGAAGATAAGATATAAATATTCGAGAAACATTCTTTTAGGCTTTGTGTCCTCTTTCTCCCTTATCAGGGTAGAGTACAGTCAGTTATTCCTTGCTCGCTACATATACTCCTGTTTCAGCTCTCTCAACAAAAAGTTTCTCCTGGGTCATAATCACAGTTTTTGATGTGCACATACTTAACACATAGTTCTGCTTGTTGCTCACATTCTTGCTTGCATTATTGGCATAAAGTTTAATTCTTAGAGATCAACACTATTTTTCTTATTTCTACATGCTTAGAGGGTTACCTCATGTTTGCCCATGTATCTTCAAGAGTGGGTTGAGGAGGTACAGAAGTGGGCATAATGAAACTTTACTTTTACTAGGATGTGGCAAATGCAAACTATGGAAAGAAAACATGTAAGCTGGACTAAAGATATTCATAAAAAAATAATTGACATGTTAATATCAACAGAAAAGAACCAGTAGGAAGGGAAAAATGAGAAGATATTTGCAAAAGGGCATAATTGAGAGAGCAGAAGGATATATGATCCAGTACCAAGTTGAGATTAATAGAGAACTATTAGAAACACCAACATTTACGAGGTGGGTAGGGTGAGAGGAGCTCACAGAAGAGACTGAGACATGACCTGAGAGGCAGGCCAGAAACTAGGAGAGAACACATTACCGAAGACTGCAGAGAGTGTCAGATGTTGCTGGGGGAGAAAGCAAATTAGCATTAAAATTTATTTATTGAATTTAGCAAAGAGAAGGTCAATGTTAATAATTTAGATGGACTGGAAAGACTGGAAGTGAGACCACAGTGAGTAAAAAGTAGATGAGAGGAAAAGAAGTCAAGAGTGAATGTAGAAATATTTCAGTTTTTCCATGAAGGCGATAGGACAAAAGGGTGGAAACTAGAGGGAGAAGTGGTCCAGGCAAGTTATTTTTAGCATAGGACTTCAAGTCAATGTAAATGATGATGGGAAGTGTTTAGTAAATGAGAAGATGAGATACAGAAGACACAGGAGTATTCCAAAGAGCAAAGTTCCTAATGAATGGGAAGGAGATGAGGTCCAGCACACAGGAGGTAAGATAATGCTTGGATAGGGTGAAGGACACTTTATTCATTTAGCTGGTGCTAAGGTAGAAAATGTAGAAATGGGGGTTTGAAGCTTAATGCTTTGAATTAGGGGGAAAACAATGGGAGTTACTTATATAGGGAGTATTATTAAAACTAGAACTCAAAGAACATTTGACTTCCTAGAGATGACTGCTGACTGTGGAGAGAGAAATTGCCTGAACCATAGTGTAACTTGGAATTGAGTTTAGAAATATGTTGTTTTTATGAAACATTAAATATGTGTAACAACAAATTGAGAAAATCCAGCCTTTCCCCACCAGTAGCCTTACTGTCAAACTCTCATTTTCCTGATCCTCAGTATGAAAATTATGGCCCCATCATTGCTGTGCAGGTCGAAAATGAATATGGTTCATATCATCTGGATAAAAGATACATGTCATATGTTAAAAAGGTAAGTGCTCCTTTAATTTTCCTCCATATTTAAATACATCTTTTCTCACTTTGTTAGTTTGTGGTGCAAACATATCTTAGGTTGAGGAGATACAGAAGTGGGCAAGATGAAACTTGACTAGGATGTAGCAGGTGCAAGATATGTGGCAGGTGCAAGTTGTAGCTTACATGGTACCATGGGATATGAAGATGAATAAAGTCCAGTTTAACTTTTCCATGCATTTACATTCTAAACAGGAGACTGGACACGACCTGTGTGATTCTAATGTAAGCCAGAGTGATGTTAAAATATTTTTCCTTTCTATAGATATCAGAGATCTCTTTTGGTTGGTCATATAATACATACTTTCCATCCTTTTACTTTCAGTTTTTCTGTGTCCGTATATTTAAGGTACATACCTTATAAGCAGTATATAATTAGAATTTGTTTTCATTAATCCATTATGAAAACTCTTGTCTTTTAAATGAGGTATTTGGTTTGTTTACATTTAATGTAATTACTGATATTTGCATTTATCATCTTATTATTTTCTTTTTATTTCTTCTACTTGTTCTATTGTCCTTTTTCTGTTCTTTTGATTTGACTAAATAGAGACTATAGCATTCATCCTTAAATTATTAATGTCTACTATAAGTTAATATGTTTACCAAATCCAGGGCAAAGAAAGCACATAAGAACAGTTTAAATGCATTTTCCTCCCTTCTGTCTTAGGTGCTATTCTCATTTCTTCATGATATATATTTTTATATTCACAAAACATTATTATTTTATTATTTATTTAGTGTCATTTAGATTTATCCAAATAATTTAGTTTTTGTTGCATTTTCTTCTATGCATCTCTGAGCTTTATCTCTCTTATCATTTTTCTCTGCCTGAAGTGCACCTTTTTGTGTTTTCTGTTGCAAGTGGTCATTGACAAATTCTTTAACTTTTTATTTGCCTGAAAATGTGTCTAGTTCACCACCATTTTTGAGGGTATTTTTGCTGTATCTGTAATTCTAGGTTGGTAATTATTTTCTTTGAAGATTCTCTGGCATACATTGTTTCTATTAAGAAGTCAGTTATCAAAGATGATGGTGTAGGAAGATCCTGAACTCACCTCCTCCCATGGACACAACAAATCTAGTTACATGTGGATCAGTTTCCTCTGCTAAAACTAACTGAACAGCTTCTGTACAACAAAGGATAAAAAGGCCACATGAGATGGACAGGAGAGACAGAGACCTGATCCCACCAAAACCCCCACCCCTGGCATGGTGACCCACAATTGGGAGAGGTCCCACAAATGTGGAGTTTCTCCCTGAGGAGCATGGGGTTTGTGCACCACATCACGAACCACAACCTTTGGGACCAGCACCAGAGAGATTAGCTGTCAAAATATCTGGATTTGAAAATCAGTGAGGCAGTGGGAAAAGGAGATTTTGCCTTTCAAAGGGCTCATATGCAGACTCACTCGTCCTGGAACCAGCACAAAAGCAGCAGATTGAAAAGTACCTAGATGATAAGTAAAGGGGAACCATTTACTAATCTTAAAATGTCTGCTGGAGGGACAGGAGCCTGTTGAGATTCTCTCTGAGGATGGAGGAATCAGTGGACACCAGTTTTGCACTTTGCCTCTAACCTGCTAGCACTAGTAGGGTTCCCCCCTGCCCACTTCTCCAGTGGCCTGCACCAGGGCCAGCTGGGTAAGCTCCCCAGCCCTCTGCAGTGCTCCCATGACCCATACCAGAGCCAACTAGGAGAGTGCCCCTCCCTTCTGCACCTCTCTCATGGTCCCCACCAAAGCTGGCAGGTTTGTGCACTACAGACAAGGGACACCTCTTGAGTGCCTTGCTCTGGTGGCCAGAGAAGGGTTGCATTTATGAGCCCCACAGGTCTGAAACAATCATAAAGACAGTTCTTGGTAGTCTACAAACTTCAGGTTACTACACAGACAGCAGACTGAATTACACTTCCAGTGTTCCTATAAAAAAGGCCTATTTACTTGTTCTGTAACATCAGCTTGAGGGGCAGGCTTCAGGTTTACCACAATTCTAGAGGCTACAAAAGTGCTCTCAAGGAACATAGGCTAGGGGTTACTGTCTCCCTTGGCCTCTCTTCAGTTCACCAGTACCACCAGAAAGGGCTCACCCAAAGCCCCCAGTTTTGCAGCTATCACTAAGGGGATACCTCCAGATCACCTGGTCTGGTGGCCAGCAGGATCTATGATCATGGTTCCACAGAACTGTATATATCTGTATATAATAGCTGCTGACTGAGGGTCTAGCTTTCGATCATTCTGAATCCAAGTGTTGACTGAGATCCCTCCCTCAAGAACACTCACAGGTATTGGCAAACTCTCAAAAACTGGGACCTACAAGAAAAAAAATCAGACTGCTTAGATAATCACAAAGGTTTAAGAGACAACCAGGAACTAGGGCAAGATTAAACAATAAGGTTAATCTATTACACAGGGCCAGTCCTTCAAGACAGAGAGATAGCTGTTTGGCCTAATACTTAGAAACAAAAAGAGAGTCAAGGAAAATGAGACAAAGGAGTATATTCCTAATGAAAGTAGTAGAAAAAAACAAAAAGACTTTCATGAAGCACAGATATGGAAATTACCTGATAAAATGTTCAAAGTAATGGTCATAAAGATGCTCACCAAACTGAGAAAGATGGATGAACAGTGAGAATTTATACAAAAGATAGAAAACATAAGAAATTACCAAAAAGAAGTCGTAGAGCTGAAGAATACAAAAATAGAACTGAAAAATACAATAAGGGCCTTCAATAATAGAAGAGATGAAGCAGAAGAAAGAATCAGTCATCTGGAATAAAGAGCAGTGGAACTCACCCCAACAGAGCAGCAAAAAGAAATAATTTTTTTTTTAAAGTGAAGATAGCTTAAGGAACCTCTGAGACAACATCAAGTTGAATAACATTCATGTTATAGGGGTCCCAGATGAAGAAGAGAGAAAGAACAGGGAAGAAAACTTATTTGAAAAATTTACAGCAAAAAACTTACCTGGGAAAAGAAACAGACATTCAGAGCCAAGAAGCCCAATGTTCCAGATAAGATGAACTAAAAGACCCACATCAAGACACATGATAATTAAAGTGTCAAAAGTTAAAGAAATAGAGGACCTTAAAACAACAAGAGAAAAACAACTTTTTATATAAAGGAACCCACCCGCACCTTAAAGGTATGAGCAAATATCTCAGCAGAAACTTTGCATGCCAGAAGGAAATGGCATGATATATTCAAAGTTCTGAAAATGATAGTAAGAAAACTTTAAACTAAGAACACTCTCCCTGGCAAGATTCTCATTCAAAATTGAGTGAGAGATAAAAAGCTTCCTAGACAAACAAAAGCTAAAGGAGTTCATTACCACGACACTGGTCTAACATATGTTAAAGGGACTTCTTTAAGCTGAAAAGAAAAGGCATTAATTAGAAACAAGAAAACATACAAAAGTAAAAATCTTACTGGTAAAGGTAAATATATAGTAAAGGTGGTAGATTAATCTTTTAAATCTAGTATGAAGGTTAAAAGACAAAAAGTAGTAAAAATAATATAACTATTAGTTAAAGGATACACAAAATAAAAACATGTAAATTGTAACATCGGGAATCTAGAATGTGTTTGGGGGGTAGTAAAAATGTAGAGATTTAGAGTGCATTTAAACTTAACTTGCAGTCAACTCAAAATAAACTGTTATATATAGGCTGTTATATGTAAGCCTTATGGTAATCAGAAAGCATAAGCTTATAGCAGATACATAAAAGATAATGAAAGAAGAATCTAAGCATAACACTAAAGAAAGTCATTAAACCACAAGGGAATGAAGCAAGAGAAGAAAGAAATGGAGAACTGTAAAACAGCCAGAAAATAATGAACAAAATGGCGGTAAGTACATATATATCAGTAATTACTTTAAATGTAAATGGACTAAATCCTCCAATAAAAAAAACAAACATAGCATGGCTGAATGGATAAAAAAAAAAAAAACAAAAACAAGACCCATGTGTATGTTTTCTACAGGGGACTCACTTCAGATATAAGGATACACATACAGCGACTGAAAGTAAAGGAGTGAAAAAAGATGTTTTATGCACATGGAAACCAAAAGAAAGTTGAGATAGCTATACTTATATCAAATGAAATAGACTTTAAAACAAAGAGTGTGATAAAAGACAGATAGGCATTCATAATGATAAAGGGGTCAACCCAGCAAAAAGATATAATAATTGTAAATATTTATGAACCAAATGTAGAAGCACCTAAATATATAAAACAAATATTAACAGACCTAAAGGGAGAAATGGACAGAAATACAATCATAGTAAAGGACTTTTTAATATACTACTGATATTAATGGATAGATCATAACAGAAAATCAATAAGGAAACATTGGCCTTAAATGAAACATTAGAACAGATGAACTTTATAGATATATACAGAACATTCCACCCCAAAGCAGAATAATACAAATTCTTTGCAAGTGTGCATGGGAATTCTCCAGAAAAGATCACATTAGGCTATAAATCTCAATAAATTTAAGAAGATTGAAATTATATCAAGGATCTTTTTTGACCTTAATGGTATGAAACTAGAGGTCAATTCCACAAAAACTAGAAGAATCAGAAATATGTGCTGGTTAAACAATCAATGGGCCAATAAAGAAATCAAAGAGAAATAAAAAATCATCTTGACACAAGTGAAAATAGAAATACAACATATCCAAATCTATGAGATGCAGCAAAAACAGTCTAAGAGGGAAGTTTATAGAGATACAGGTCTACCTCAAGAAACAAGAAAAATCTTAATCAAACATTACAATTAAAGGAACTAAAAAAAGATAGAAAAAGGAAGGCCAAAGTTAGTATAAAGAAGAAAATAATAAAGAACAGAGTGGAAAGAAATGAAATAAATACAAAAAGACAATAGAAAAGATCAATGAAACTAAGAGCTGAGTTCTTTGAAAAGATAGACAAAATTGACAAACTTAGCTAGATTCTAAGAGAAACTAAGAAAAATATATAAAGAGAACTCAAATAAATAAAACCACAAATGAAAGAGATGTTACAAGTGATACCAAAAAAAATACAAAGAAATATGAGACAACTATGAACAATTATATGTCAAAAAATTGGACAACTTAGAAGAACTGGGTAAATTTCTAGAAACATGCAGTTTTCAAGACCAAATCATAAAGAAACACAAAATCTGAACAGACTAATTACTAGTAAGGAAATTGAATCAGTAATCAAAAACCTACCAACAAACAAAAATCCAGGGCTAGATGGCTTCGCTGGCGAATTCTACCAAACATTCAAAGATTTAACACCTATTCTTCTTAAACTCTTCTAAAGAATTGAAGAGGAGGGATTGCTTCCAAACTCATTATGAGGCCAGCATTACCCTGAGCACAAAGACACACAAGGAGACCAAAAAAAAAAAAAAAAAAAAAAAGAAGAAAAGAAAATTACAGATCATATTCCTGATAAAAATAAATGCAAAAATCCTCAACAAAATATTAGCAAACTAAATTCATTAACACATCAAAAGGATCATATACCAGGATCAAGTGGGATTTATTCCAGAGATGCAAGGGTGGTTCAATATCCAAAAATCAATATGATAGACCACATAAACAAAATGAAGGATAAAAATTTTATGATCATCTCAGTAGATGTAAAAAAAAAAAAGGCCAAAATTCAATATTCATTTATGATAAAAATTCTTAAGGTAAGTATAAAGGGAATATACCTTGACATAATAAAGGCCATATATGACAAGCCCACAGCTCACATCATATTCAACAGCAAAATGCTGAAAGCTTTGCCTTTAAGATCAGAAACAGGACAAGGATGCCATTCTCTCCACTTTTATTCAATGTAGTATTGGAAGACTTATCCAGAGCAGTTAGACAGGAAAAAGACAAAAGCATCTAAATTGGAAATAAGATGAAAAACTGTCATTATTTGTGGATGATATGATTTTATATATAGAAAACCTTAAAGACTCCACCTCCCCCCACAAAAAAGAAAACTAATTAGAACTAACAAGTAAAGGTGCGGGGTACAAAACCAGTATACAAAATTTGTTGCATTTTTATATACTAGCAACAAACTATCAGAAGGAGAAATTAAGAAAAAATTTTTGTTTACAATTGTATTGTAAAGCATAAAATACTTTGGGATAAATTTAACCAAGAAGGTAAAAACCTGTGTATGGAAAACTAAGTCATTGATGACAAGTTAAAGAAGACAAATAAATGGAAAGGTATTTCATGTTTATGGATTGTAAAAGTTAATATTGTTAAAATGTCCATACTACACAAAGCATTTTACAGATTCAGTGCAATCCCTGTCAAAATTCCAATGACATTTTTCACAGATATATAACAAAACAATCCTAAAATTTGTATGGAACCACAAAAGACTCTAAAGGGTCAAAGCAATCTTGAGAACAAAGAACAAAGCTGTAATTATCACATTCCATGATTTTAAACTATAGCTATAGTGATCACAACAGTATGGCATTGGCATAAAAACAGACACATAGGTCAACAGAACAGAATAAGAGAACTTAGAAATAAACTTGTGTATATATGGTCAATTAATTTACAACAAAGAAGGCAAAAATATACAATGAGAAGGGTTAGTCTCTTCAATAAATGGTGTTGGGGAAAACTGGACAGCCACATGCCAAAGAATGAAACTGGACCACTGTCTTACACTAGACATAAAAATTAACTCAATATGAGTTAAATACTTGAATGTAAGACTTAAAACCAACCATAAAACTAGAAAAAACAAGGTGAACTCCTTGGCATTGATCTTGCACTGTTGGTGGGAATTAGTAAATTAGTGTAGCCACTGTGAAAAGCAGTATGGAGGTTCTTCAAAAATTAAAAATAGAACTAGAACATGATTCAGCAATTTCACATCTGGGTATTTATCCAAAGAAAACAAGAACACAAATTCAAAAAACCATATTCACCTCTATGTTCATTTCAGCATTATTAATATAGCCAAGATATGGAAACAATTTAAGTGTCCATTGATGGATGAATGGATAAAGAAGATGTGATGCACACACACAACAGAATACTACTTAGACATAAAAAGAATCATATCTTCATTTGTAACAATATGGGTGGACCTTAAAAGTATTATGCTAAGTGAAATAAGTCCAACATAGAAAGACAAATACCATATGATTTCACTTATATGCAGATTCTAAAAAACAAAACAAATCACCAAACAATCAAACGAAACCAATCTTATACATATATAGAACAGATTTGTGGTTGCCAGGGGTGAGACTGGTTTGGAGGGTGAGCAAAATGGGTAAAGGAGATCAAGAGGTACAACATAAAGACATGAAGATATAATGTACAGCATACTGACAGTTGGTAATATTGTGTGGTACATTTGAAAGCTGCTAAGAAAGTAAACCTTAAAAGTTATCATGGTAAGAAAAAATTTTTGTAGCTTTGTGATCATTTTGCAATATATACAAAGGTTGAATCATGTTTTACACCTGAAACTAATATAATGGTGTATGTCAATTACACGTCATTTAAAAAAAGAAGACAGGAACTTCTTTTGCATGTGTTAAATTTGATTATTTTCTCTTGCTAAAAACAAAAAGTCAGGTATCGATAAAATTATTTTTTTGAAGGTGAAGTGTCCTTCTCTCTTAGCCTTTTAAAAGATTTTTTTCTCTGGTTTTTAGCTATTTTACTAAGATTTGCCTAGGCGTGGTTTTCTTTCTACTTATCTTGCTTATATTTTTTGCACTCTTCGATTTGTGGCTTGAAGTGTTTAATCAGTTTTGGTAAATTCTCAGCAATTCTCTGCTCCGTTTATTTTATCTTGTCCTCTGGGACTTTAATTATACACATTTTAGATTTTTTTCATCATATTTTACATATCTATTATACCCTCTTTTGAATGATTGCGTCTAAGCTATCTTCTAATTCATTTTTTTCTTCAACTTTGTCTAATTTGATGTTAAACCTACCTCATTACATTCTTAATTTCAGATATTATAATTTTCTAGAATTTTTATTTCTTTTCTATAGTATTTATTTCTTTGCCGAAATTTTCTATTTTTCTTTAATTTTTTGAACATACTAATTATAGTTAAAGTCTATGTCTAATAGACCTAATATCTGATTTCCTATATATCTATTTCTGTTGTCTTTTGTCCTCATGATGTCAGTGAAGTGTTGTCTTGTGGTATGCCTAATAATTTTTCGATCCAATGTCATTTACTTATGAAAACATCAGTGAGATCATTTGAAACTCTTGATAATCTTTAAGATGGATTTATTTTTTGCTTCTGGAAGGTAGTTTCAATGATTTAGAGCTGAGTATCAATTCTTACGATAACAAGTGCTAATTCTTGTTCACCCTTATACCTAGGGGATAGCCCTTTGGGTCTCAGCTGAAAGCCTAGAATTTTTCATGGCCTCTCAACCTTGGCAATTCCCGAACTGTAATTTTCCCCGCAAGTCTCATAAATTTGCTGAAAAATTCTGCTCAGCTTATTGGCCTCTCAGCTAATGGTTTAAGAATTAGCTCATGTCTCAAGGGAAAATCAGCACAAAATGCTAGGTTCATCTCTTTGGGCCCCTTGCCTCTCTGGAAACTTGTCTCCCACCTTGATATGTATCTAGGATCTTCAAATAAGTTTTTTAAAAATATCTTTGTTCAGTTTGTCTAGTTGTTATTAGAAGAAATGTTAGTCTAAAGCAAAATATTCCACCATCCCTAGAAGAATCTGTTGCTATCTCTGAGTAGTGATCCATGAATTCTTTCATTCTCAAGTGTTCTAGTTTGGATGAAAAGTTATATGGTCACCTAATGGGGGCAATAGACTTGAAACATTGCATTTTGGTAGAACCTATAGTAGTGAAGGGTTGACTGTGATTAATACATGGCATCTTTGCTTCTCTCACTTATTTGGTTCACTTCTCTGCCTTTCTTATATTTCAAGAGTTCAAACTACTTCTGCACATTCAACAAGTGGCTCTAAGATAATTGTAGGGATGGTTTCGCCTTTAGGATATTCTGATCTAAAGGCTCAGGAAGGCATACTTTTGGCTTTTCTTAGTATCTATTATAGCCTTAGTATTTTATTCCTCAATTAGATAACTCCCTTAGCCTCTTCTCTCTTTGATTTACAATCTCTCTAGAGCTATTTCTAGTTAAAGTATAGACGTTAAAAGATTATGCAGCAACAAATGTGACCATGGATTGACTAAGCCAAAACTTACCTGAATTTGCCATTGACTAAAGAAAAACTAGCAGTTGTGTGTGTATTCCCAAATCCATCCTGTGAATTTGGGTGCATGGGTGTTGTTAATTTGAGTGAAAGTGTGGAGGAGATTTGTCTTAAATTCTCTGATGCACTGGAGAAAATCCAGGATTCAGGTCCTTAGGTGAAAGCATTGTACTAAGGTAAATGCAAATAGTCCAACTGCTTCTTCCTTTAGGTTTGACATTTTGTCGCTTTGGCCTTGCTGAAGATATGGCAGGGATGATTTTTTTTGGCTCTAATTCACTAACTTATAAGTAGGTTTTTTTTTTTTTTTTTTCTGTTCCTCAGCTTCATTCCAGTATTTTTTTTCCAGTATTTTTTT